ATGGCATCAACCTTGGTGACATGATATAGCCCTGACCCGAATGCCTCTATTTCATTAATGTAACCCATCATCTTGAGACAATGGTCATGAACCATCTGGCTCTCGGTCATTTTTGCGGTCATGAACAACTTCAGGACCTTTTGACGAGTAAAACGATTCTTCTCTTCATACATTGTCCTCAGACTATCCAGGATATCCTTGAACACTTCGATCTGATCAAATTGTCTCTGTATCGGATTGTTGAGGGAGGCTATGATGTAGCACCGGGCAAGAGAATTCTTATCTTACCATTATTGATACTCTTTCCTACGTGCCTCAGAAGCCTTATCACCCGGACGATCCGGAGTAGGGTTCTTAACAACCTTGTCCAATTTCTCGGACGTTAATACCAGCATAAGGTTATGGAACCAGTCAGCATAATTTGGGCCCTTAAGTTTGTTATCGTCCAACAGCTTGGTGAATTGACCGTTTGCCATTTCTGGTAAAAGGCAAGGTAGATTATTAGTCCACAACCTAAATTGATTCATGTGTACCTCATAGATATAGCTTTTAATCTATGTTCCATTTTCATTTGTTCATCTCTGAGATTTCCCTCCTATCTCAGGGACGGAGACTGCGAAATATGTCTTTGGAAATGTGGGAAATCACATACAGTGCGTGGAGCCAACTGTTTCAGCTGCATAATCCGACCACCTTTTGTGAAGGATCATATCCACTCATCTAATGATCTTTCCCTTTAGCCTCTATCAGACAAGATTCATTGTCATTTTAGTTTAAACATTTCTGTCTAGTAAGTGCTTACCCATCATATTCGTGAACACCAAGGTACCGTGAGAGAGTCTTCGATTTTAGGATAGGCCCCTCCCACATCAGTCTATGATGCCCCTATCATCTTATGAAGCAATTCAGCCAATTGCATTAGTAGATGGACTGCCCAATTTTTGGTGCATCTCCACCCACCAATACAACCAACCTTCATACTAATGATAGAAGAAGGCCTTTATAGAGTTCATCATATGAATCTGCCTATCACATGCACTTATATTTTCTAGGAGGGAACGAATAATTACGCCCTAGTTTATTTAGGTCAAACCAAAGTGGCTCCCACTGACTTTCATAAAGCCAGATTTAGATGGGCCGTAAATGGCTAGGGTTCCGCACGGTTCCTCTTGGGAAGGAAGATGGTGTGCGGCTCACCACGCAGGGAGATCATCCAATGATCTTAAGGACACCATGGCAATGATATCCATTCAGCCATGGTGTGCGAAAGAAACACTATCAAATTAGCATGGGCCAAGTGCTTATGGCCCATTGACGTAGCACATCACACATCCATACATCACATGTATGAAATCCATAATTGATCAAATCAATTAAATAACTGTAAAACCCATAAATAGAGCCCATTTAATTCCATAATATTATCTAGGTATATGGGCTGAATTGCCGAGAGTAGTTTGGCCCATATAACATTTACGCTGAATTAGGCTAAAGAAGTTTTAATAGATTAAAACTGGGTTTTACAAATGTGGGCCGAATTGGATCATGCAATTAACCATCATTCCCTCGGCCCATGAAGGAAATTTTAGGGCTGAGAACAGCCCCCATCGAACCACAGTCGGTCCAATCTGGTTCAAATGGGTCTAGGGTTTAATGTTTAATTCAAGATTCAATTCAAGAAGATGATCTGAAATTAAACAACTGATAAATGACATTCAAGAGTCAGTGATAAAAAAAAGGGGGTTGTTCGTAAGGCTGCAACCCTGCAAAAGAAAGATTAGTTCGCAGTATGCAGTTTCCAAAATTGCAAATCGCAGATCGCTGAACCCGAATCTGCGAAATTCTCTCCTTTGCGCTTTCTACTTTGTTTTTGAATGAAAGAAAATAGAAAACCTAATTTTTCTATTAATATTACATCAGATTCGAATTCCTATACATTTCGTCTAAAAAATTAAAAATAAAATTAATTACAGACCAAGAATGAATAGAATAAATCAGTAGGTGCACAGATTAAGTGAGCACGTAAGCTTAATGGGCCTAAAGCCCAATTTCGAACTAGGTTAATTAGATTAATTAAATAGGGGCGGATCAGGGTTTGGATCAACAAATAAGGATAAGAGAATAAGTCTTATCCACTTAAAGAGTCCAGATCCAAATAAAGATTTGGATCCAAATAAAGAGAGCCCAGTTGGCTCTCTTTGTATGGCATAGGACCCAAACATTGATCTACACATTAGCCACATGGGTTTAGCCTAGCCTTTGTAACAAGTCCTGGCCAAATTCACTATAGGAGACAGTGAACCCCTGAGTCCATCACCATGGGCTCTTAATGGGCGCAACATTTACACTAAATGGTCATTGGGTCTACCTACCTTATGAAAACCCAAGGACTGTGGGCAGATGCAAGATTAGCCCATCAGGTATTACCCTCAATGGTCTTATACTTAACCTCTCAGCCTATAATGATCAAACACTGCCCGACAAGAGAGGAACTCTCCCTTGGCTGCAAGGAACAGTGCTACACTCTCTACTCACATGGATCCCGAGAATTAAAACCTTTTGCAAACATTTTGTAACCATAATGTATAGCTCTATATAAATATATTTTGAAAAAACAAATTTCAACAATTGAAATCAACTACTAGTAGTTTAGGTTTCCATCAAAGAGTGCATTTCCTGATCATTCACTTTGTCCGACAAAGGGGCTGATCCTATCACTATGATCACCCACTTAGATGAAGTCTCGAACTGTCCCAATATACCCAGGTTTTGACCCCCTCTAAGAATCTCACTGATTGGCATATCAAAGACAACCCAATCCGACACCTAGTGCAGTACCATAATCGAGTTTAGGGGTCAGGTGTAACATTCCAGTTTTGCCCATCTATCTCCAAGGTCCAAGGCAATATTGGAATTTGTTCTAGTTCAAGGTTTCAAGAAAACCCACACTACATGTACCTCAGGTCTCACCCTGGCAGTTGAGGCAAGCCACCCCAACCCACTTGGCGGCACATCAGTGTCAGCCTTGCCAGGATAAATCTCCCCAAATCTATCCAACGGCTGTAAAGATTATAAACTAACACGAGTCTCATAAGTATCCAGTTTAAGGGTATTATACAAAAACACACCAAAACACATGAATCAATTATGTACTTTTATTCATTTACAATAAATGTCATCAAGTACATTAATTTGATTGGAGCTAAGGGCATACACTATCCAACACTACCCAGCTAATATACCAACTGATTACCTCCCATTTGGTTCTACAATATCAATTCAAACCATAAAATAATTGATTGAGACCACTCGTAGTTTCTAAAAAACCCCAAATCAAACATTAGGTGGAAAATTCCTAACAAGAATAACCACAACCATGCAACAAGGATGCTATGTAGGAAACCTCAGGTTTGGGCGACCCTTTACTCTAACATTTCTAAACCAAATCTTAGGGTCCATTTAGTTAGTAGTCGGAATCGAAATTGACATTGGAATCAAAATCCTCTAGAATAAAAATCAGAATGGTTCATTCCCATAATCTGTTTGGTTTAAATAGGAATGGGAGTGGGAATTAAAATCAGCAGGAATGAGATTTCATTCCCAAGGGACAGGGAATGAACATTCCCTTAAATGGTAAAATACCATTCCAGCAAAAATAGGAATAGAATTTTGATTCCACTCAACCAAATAGTTGGAATCGGAATAACTCATTCCAATTCCGATTCTAGACCCCTATTCCTGCAAACCAAACGGACCCTTAGTAGCGACAATATTGTGGATTGGAGGGACCTGGAGAACACCTATTGGTACGTGAGCCATCAACACTGGCACAGGCGTGGCCAGCATTCGAAGGACCGAAGCTCATTTAATTTTGGCCAGGAGGTTCAGGAACAGGACAGTGATTATGGAGGACGATTTCATTAGTTCAAGCTTGTGGTGGATTCTCTTCGACTCTCCGTGGCGCTGTCACCCCCTAGGAACATCAGTCCGGTTATTGATTGTTGCCATGAGGTATGTGAATTAATGAGCTCAACGACGTTCAGTAATCAGTATTCCCATGTATTGAGAGAAGCTAACACGGCAGCAGATTGGTTGGGTGTTGGATTAAGTGATGATTGTATTTAGGGTAAATTGGGACCTTAACTATATATTTATATCTGTTATCTCTGGGTCGGCCCAATTAATTAAATTAAACTGTGCTTAATCCAGTTTCTGCAGGAATCTGTAGAGAATCAAGCTCTTCAACCTTCTTTTTTTCACAAAATAAAGTAACCAATATAAGCGATTTCAAGCAAAAATGCATAAAAGTTATTCAAATAAACTCCGAGATCTTACTTTCGAGGAGAGCCAGGGGCAGGGGGTGGTGGAGGGAAATCATCAGCCATGCCCCTTCCGCTTAAAAATTCGCCTAATTCCATTTATATTTCATTGTGTTTGGTTTGAAGGAAAAAGCAGAAAAATAAAGGAAAAAACAGGGAAACTTGTACAAGATTTATAAAGGTTTTCTTACATTTCCCTTCCTTTCCCTACCTTTTCCTTCAAACCAAGCATAGCCTTAGGATTCATTTGTTTTTCTGATTTTGAGAGGAGAAAATTGGTCAATATAATTTTAATTTTCATTGATCAAGATATTCATATTCTTTTTTCCAGGTAAGTCTATCTCTCATGTATATAATTAACTTTCCTTCAATAAGAGCGTCAATGGACCGGTTTTAGATTGGACTTTGTTCAGTCCAAAATCAATTTGGACAAATTGGACGGGCCAACAAGACATATTAGACTGGACCAATCCAGTCCAAAATATTTATTAGATTGGATTGGACCCGGTCCGACTGTAATAAATTTATATTGGATAGGGTTGGATTAAGCCAATATCTAGTCCACTGATATAAGATAAGAATATAAGTGTCAATGGTCCGGATTTGCGTTGAAACCAATCTAAATCAAAACGAATTTGAATGAATTGAACGGTCCAGACATTGAATTGAACTGGTCCACAATGATCTAAAATATTCATTGAATTGGATTGAACCTGGTCTATTTATAATAGGCTTACATTAGACAGGACCGGATTAGACTAAATCCACTCCAATATCAATCCCTATCCCTCAAATCCTAGCTCCGCCCTTGCTTATTCTGCGTTCTCCTTTTGGTAATAAGATAACCAGTAGATATTATACCATCATTTATTACAAGGAAATATAATTGCACTTTAGGGCTTAGGCGCGCTATACTAGCTCTAAATATAAGCTAGGCAAATTAAACCATAATTCATAAAGAGGAAATCTTACATAAATTTAACCAAGAGCACGCGGCTTCCTTATTGTCTTCTTCCACCAGTTCCATTCTCCCTCTTGCAGTTAAAATAAACGGCAGCAACTGGTAACCCAAGATTGTAGAGTTCAGCAAAGTTTCTGGTGTTGAAATTATGGCGCCACCTTGGAGCGAAGACCGTCTGTCTACCAAGTTGCCGGAAAAGCATGAACACAAAGCGGTGTACCCCAACTGTTGGCTGTGGGCACTCATAGCAAATAATCTCTTGTCCTGAAACCCATTACCACAGTAAGCTTCTTCAGCTTTTGTACTGCCTTTATCACAAAAACCAGAGATACTTGTTACAAATTATAGCTCTACGATGCGACTTAGGTCGTATTCCATTTATTGTTCAAAAATGGTTGGGCTGGTCTGTGGATGGCTCGATCGGTTTGAGTTCGGATACCATGCCGGTCGACTGACTCGTTACTAGATCTAGTCAATGGTCCAGTGGACAGCCGATCCGGAGCCTTGGAAATTTAACAGGGTTGTTTGTCGTTGGTCATTGTAGGAATCCGATGAGAAGTGAAAACCATGTTCGAGCTTTGTCCTCGAACGGAAGCCAAGTGAGACGTGACAAACCGAGGCAGGGTGTAGAGGGGATTTTAGGTAGCTTTCCACTCAAGGTCAAGGGAATTGATAAAATTCTGTACGATTCACTAAGAATCATTGATTCATGTATTGGAATCTTGTAAATTAATGAATTTATGTATGCCATTTGTTATTGTTGCCTTGCCGTTCTATATATACTTTCCTCTACTTTTTTTCTTGTTTAATTGGATATTTTTTAAACGTTTTCAAATTGTTTGAACTAACATTTATAAAGCTTGAAGACATTATGCCAGTTGTACAGAACTGGAAATGGAGAGACACGAACACGATTGACAGCTTGCAAAGGAATATTTTCCAAGGCAGTTCACGTGCTAGTTGGGAAATTGCTACTATACAAGATTTGTAAAGGTTTTCCTATCTTTCTCTTCTTTTCTCGACTTTTTCCTTCAAATCAAACATAGCCTTAACTCATCTATTCATATAAAATTCAAACCGTAGACCATTTGTTTATGGTAGGGGTGGATTCAAACCGAGTTGAGTTGAATATTTGGTTATTTGAGTTTGGTTCATTGAAATTATATTAAGCTTGATCTTGATTGGAGCTAAAGACTTGAGTTTGAGTTTGGCTTGGTTCAAAGTTCGTAAGTTCGAGTTCGGTTCAGCTTGAGTTCGATTATAAATCAAGTTTTTTCTAAAAAATAAAAATTATACATATAGAATATTTTTTATTTTATACACAAAAAATTAAGAATTATTATACATAGACAAAATAAAAAGTAAACATATAAAAGCTCTTTTTATTTTACATACAAAAAATAAGAATTAAAAAATTATTACTATTATACATAAAAAATAAAAATATAATATATAAAATATTATTATATATATTTATATATTTATATGTATATGTATATATAATAAAAAATATTTATTTATTATATTATATTCGATTAAGCTTACGAGCCAAACTTTACTAGGCTCGATCTCTATTCAATTAACAAACGAGCCTATATATCAGGCTCAAACACAGCTCAAAGCTCAATTTAAACTGAACTAAACCAAACTTTTCACAAGCCGAACTCGAATAACTCAGGAAAAACTCAGCTTACGACCACTCTTAGTTCCTGGAATATAGTCTAACAGAATCTATGTACATATTCTATTATGAACACACAGCATTTCAATTCATTGCAAGTCAAAAATGAATTAGGATCTGCTCCTCAAAGTGCACTCACTGATCTTACACTCACATTCTACAATGTATTGGGAGAGGCCGGAGTGCCCAGATGGGTTCCTAGCTACTATGTATTGTTAGTCATTGCCCCATCATTGGAATGTATTCTATTCAATACGCGATGAGATAAAGCTGTGAGGTCAGTGTGAGGTGCGTTCTTATGCTCTATGAGGAACAGATCATAATTGTTATTAAAATCATCATCTATGAATAATAATATACAAATAAAGGAAATGTTTTGTGAAATAGGTGTGAGGAACGCTATGTGAGGAATAGATTCGAACTCAAATACTTGACACCCTAACCCCTCAGAAAATACGAAGTAATTATGAAAAGAAAATAATTTTATCCACAATGAGGATGACCTGCAGGGTGTGAGCTATTCGGATTTCAGATTCTCGTTTCGTCTAGTATAACTTACCGAAACTCGCACCAGTAGTTGCTGGGATGTCCGTCACCAACCTGAGAAGCGCACAAAGGGAAGCCATTTATGTACGATACTGGCATAAAACATGTAATATACTAACAGATTGACACAATAGAATAGAAGCACCCCAACTGAGAGTTTTTCTTTTTTTTTTTTCCGACTTTTTAAAGTTATGGCACTGATATTTTTGCCTTTATCTTGGCAGCCCTTCTAAGGCTGTCAATGGTTCATGTCTGGGTCTGGACAGAATGAGGATACATTGGATTTTGAGCGTACAAGAAAATGCCTAATACCAAGTTCCAGGCACAAGTAACAGACCCAGAACAGAACTGATGATATATTAAAAGGCTTTTAGCCTGATAATTTTACAAATTAAAGGACAAAATCGTTAATAACTAATAGAATATATATATACTTGATTTGGGTCAAAATCTGATAAACCCAACCCTGGAGTCCGGACCTGCTACCCGCAGGCCTACTCGAATAGATGATGTTGCAGATCCAAGCTCCCGACGAAAGTTGGGTTGGCTTGCTGCTGGTATGGCCTGGAAAAGTCGAAAACAATTCACGGACCGATGCCACCACCGTCTCGTTGTGAGTGCTACAGGCTGATGATCACTGCCAATATCGTCGGCTACACATCACTGACTTTACCAAACTTTTTTCAGCACAGACAGCTAGCACCAGCGAAATGTCGAACTTCTCTTGTGGTGGTCGTTGCATGATTCGTACAGTTATGTACGTAGTGATGTGACTAGAATTAAAAGGGTCTGAGAGAACTGTACGCTTTTTGAAGAAAACTTTGGCTGTTTGGGGCAACAGATTGCGCTGTTGGAAACGATAATGGGGCATGGCATCCCCACGCCTGGTTTTTATTTTTTTTTTATTACCAAAAACAAAACTCCTGGTTTTTTTTTTCAGTTCATCCTATATACTTTTTTACAGTTTGTACAATTGGAATAGTAATAGGTAGGGAACGAATCAAAATTTAAGGGGAAAATAGTAGGTGGCGTAGTGCTGTCATGGGTCGGGTCTAACAAGGATGGATCCAAACCGATTGAATCGGTTCTAGTTCCTATATATTATCCATTCTATTCACTCTTAAACTAATTCAGACCCGGCCTAAGTTATATATATAACATTTTTAACAGGTTTATTATAATTGAGTCAGACCCGATTGTTCTAAAAACTGATCGATTCAGTTCTGGGCCTAAAATTACAGGCCCTATTGGGTCTGGTTCGATTTAATGTCTTTAGTATTTCTACCAGATCAGTTCCATTCTATCAGACCCGACCAGTTGACAAACCTAAGGTGCAGGTGTTGATAAATAAAATAAAAAACTAATAAAAGTTTCTAATGTGGATTGAATTCTAAATTTCTCAAAGAATAAAGAAAATAATTACTTTTACTCCACACCCATTGGCCATGGTAACGTGTTTTCTTTGGGAGAACTTGCCACACGGTTGACCCCCAATGGTCAAAGTTTTTCCCTTATCAAAGGGGGATGGTGCAATTATTCCAATCAGAGAACTTAGGATCTGTTTGCTTTGTATTTAGAATTGGAATCAAAATCACATGTTCCCCCACCTGTTTGATGCAAATGAGAATTGGTATAGGAACGTACAAAGAGGTTTGGCATCGAGTAGAAAAATAGGGATGGGGGGTTATTGTTATTTTTTCTTATGGCTGGTTAAAATGAGATCTTCATCTCTAAGAAAGAGGCCGGAATGGCCATTCTCTCAAGAGAGAGTGGAATGGGAATCGTAATCCCATTCAGATCGTGAAGCAAAGGATCCCTCAACTTGTTATTGGGAATAATAAGGCAGGGTTGATCAAAAGGCCTGTGCAAGTGAGTTGTGAGTTAGTAGCAAGTGTCAATTCTTTACGTTACGTTTGGAAGCAATGTAAATTAAGAGCAATGTAAAAGTTTACGCTAGTTTAATTTTATTGGTGTTTGGATGAAGTATAAATGAAGATCAATGTAAAATTTCTTTGAAGTAGAGTCTTATATCATGAGTAGATGTAAAATCTCATCAAATGTAAAGGTATATCAATTATTTAATGTAAAATCGATATAAAACTTTACACTTTTTTCATCATGTTTTTCAAAGTGTAACGGTCACTTGCTCACGGTTGGGTGTAAAAATGTCATTGATATATTTTTTCATTGATGACATTTTACACTGATTCCAAACACAATCTTAATAAATATACTAGTTTTTACAATTGCCAAAAAAATAATGATGCTATTGACTTGGAATGGTTTTTCTGTTTATCCTAAGGGAAAATCTCTGAGACACAACCCCCTAAAATAAGTAATTTTAGCTCCCACTCGATTACCTTAGCCCCATAAAGTCAAATGGTAACATTTGAAAAAAACGAAACTTAAGGAAATCTTAACCGATTCCTATATCCTAGCCTGATGGGACAATAAACATATATGAGCTTGCATCTACTGCTTGTCCCTTTCTTTTTGGGGTAGATTGTTAAAAGTTGAAACCTCCGCTGAAGCTTTTGTAATTGCTGAAATTTTCTTTAAAGTTTGATAATTGCAATTACTTTTCTTAAAATTTTCTAAAAAAATGCATAAAAATATCTAAAATACTCATTTAATTATTTTTCACAAAAATTTTGTTCTTCAAATTTTCTCTTCATATGCTATCTTAAACTCTTTCATTCTCTTTTTTTAAAATTGATTTATTTTTTAATTTACCCTTCATATCAATCACTCAAAGATACAGCTGTAGTTTTAAATTCTTTTTATTTTTGTTGTTCATAAAATTTATATTGTTTAGAAGTAATTGAAATTATATAAAAGGTTCAGCAGAAATAATTGAAACTATTAAAATTTAAGGGCGGTTTTAACCACAGTCAAAACTTTTATGACAGGTTTCAAGTTAAAAAATTTACCCTTTTTTATTTTTATTTCTTGCAGTCCAGATCTGCTCCTCACAGTATGACTCAGCCATATATCGGTAATATCTCCGGTGAGGTCGCTGTAGGAGAAAATCCCAATTCTCTCGTCCCAACAGTTATGTACAGCGGGAGAGCAAATCTCAAGGAATTGGGGTTGCTCCCATGATCCCATCAAAACCCCACCGGACTAATTGGAACGTATTTGTTGGGATCAGAGCCGGACTCGATCCCGAGTGGTGAACACAGCATATCTAAATCTTAAATAACTAAACGACAAGACATAACACCCGCGCCTAACCTAGTATGTCTATATCTGCACTAATCCTTCTATTCTATTAAACTCTCTGCGACTCTGCCTGTGGGAGGGTCCGAGGGGAGAAGACCAGAAGAGGAATACCAGCTCACTTTACGCGTGTCAAGTTTAAGATTTTCTCATACATGCGACGTGGCAATGTTTTGATCGATTTGTCTCAGCCTCACGCTGCATCTTTTCTAATCTAAAGGAGGAAAAGCCTCCCTCCAATGGTAGATCATATAACACTAGAACCACGTCGTCCATACTCCACGCATCTCCTCCGATCCCAATTGAACTCGCAACTCGCTTTTTACCAAAAATCAATAAAAACCAAGCAAGGGAATAGGATATAGGAACTGACCAATGCAGATATTCTCTTAAGCTTGGGTCACTTGGGTTCGGCGCATCAGGATCGACCATAACCTGCAACAGAAAAGCAAAGACAGAGCAGACTGGTAAGGATGGTGCAAATTGTGATGGTTATTTTGTTTCACAAAACCACAACTTTGGGATCTTAAACAGAATGAAAGAAAGGTTGAGAATATGAAGAAGAAAAGGTTGGTTACGTTTGAACAGGGCTTACCAGTGTGAAGAAAGTCCTAAGGTCATCTCCTCCGATATCAACTCTGGGTTGGTTGACAACAGCAGAGGGTTTAAACTCGCATCCATTACTAACATCTCTGGAATTGTAGGTGACTCTAAGGGATATGGATCTATTAAAGGGGTCTATCACATCTCCTATTACCCCACCTACAACCAAAGGATCCCTCTCCCTCGGCATCACGTAAATGAGTATAACCTTACTTCAATGGATATTTTTAGTAGTCAGTATCACCCAGTTGTTTTTATAGGTCACTCGGTTGAGAGAGAGAGATGTTGAGGAACTGAAGAAACCAGACCAAGGATATGTCCATTCCCAGAATCCAACTTTTTTCAAGATAATATCGGAGGAGTTCGTGGAAAAGGAGAACCTGAGGACCTGCGCCACTGAGGTCATATCATATAAGCAAAAGTTCTGTACGGTGTATTATAGGTTCAAAGTAAAGAAAAAGAATCTAGCCAAATATAGATAACGATACAGTAAAACTGCATCAGCATTAAACTATTTCAAATGGACAAAAGTATGTAACGTATCGTTCTTACATTGAATAGCTCGGATCGTCTGTCCCCTGGGGGCAGAATTTTTTCTGTTCCAACCAATAAGAACCGAACACACCACCCTCTCCCTCTTTTGTTTGACACTGACGAAATGGACGGTCTGGACTCCAAAAAATTATCAAATTCAATTAACCCATTTTTTTTTCATTTCCTTTCTCTTCTCTTCCCTAGTCCCTCCCCACCGCCTCTTTACCCTCATCGACACACAAAGAATCTCTACCACCGTCGGAGATGCCTCTGCAACCCTCGCCGCTGCAATTTTTTCATTTCTTCTCTTCTCGTCTCCTCCCTCAACCGTCGCAGACGGCGACGGCAAGGTTCCTTCATTATTCTACGTCATGAGAGAGATTTCTACTTCATTGTTTGAGGGCAGCAATACTCTGATTGATTTGTCTAATGTTGTATCTGAATCTTGTATCCGCCTTTAAGATGACAACATCCCTTACAATGTCCTCATCTCTGATTCTGGAAACGGATTTTCCTAGGAAATAAACTTTGGCACCAGTTTTTGTCTGTCCTCTGCTGCAGTTTATGGTTATGCCATTTGAGCCTTTTTTTATAGGCACATCGCATCTGGAGTGCTGATTGACTTTGCTACTTGAAACAATTACAGTGTTATGCTGAGAAGCAGGCACTTGGGGAAGTAAACCCAGAGCTTCTTGACACTCAGGTCAACCCGATTGTGTGGAAAATCAATGGCCACATGGTGTTAAAAAGAAAACAAAACTATGAGGAAGCAACAGAGGAGAACGCTTGGAGGCTCCATGCAGAGGCCTCCCTCTCTGAAGGGAGGTTCCAGGAGGTGATAGCTCTGATTTTTGAAGCCATTGCTTGCAATGTCGATGCAAATGGAAACATCACTCAAAGCATTGGAGAGAAAGCAGCTGATGGGAATCAAGGAACCAACACTACGATGACTCATGGGAAGCATGAATGCCTTGTCCAGTATTAGTTGGTCTGTGCAAAGAACCAGGTGATTGTGGTAGATGTATAGTGGTCATTCCTGGTGGTAACCTAAATAAAGGAAACCGTGTTTGCTTTCCACCATTGTCATTGTTGTTCCGGTGTCTTGTCTTGGTAATCAAATGTCTTCTATGCACATAGGTTTATGCATATTGTATTGTACTAGTTTTAGATGAATTTCCTTGTACTTGAGCCTTGAGGACAGTTCAAAGGTTATTTATATGGTTCTTTCTCCTGTAAAAACTAATGGATATATATTTTCCATTGAAAGGGCCTAATTCTCTCAAAATTAATGGCTGAAATGAAGCTTACAAGAGTTGAGATGCCAATTATAAGAACTCCCAAAATTCAGATGGTTAATCAAGTGCTCTAACACAGGATACCAACTGATGGAGCGCAATCCGACCGGTCCTAGCTGTCAACGATCTTGCCTCTAGCTGGAGCAAAAGGTGCCTGAAACAGAGAAAAAATCGAGTAATCTCCGGGGAGGAACCCGGTGAGAGTGCTCCGAAGCTCAAGTTAATATTTCCTCGAAGGCAAGATAAAGAACCAGATGGTGCAAAGTTATCACATACCTCCTTGGGGGGGGAGAGTCTTTTATAATCACTTCGCGCACTCACTCCCAAACTCCTGTCAGGTCGGGTATCATTACCTCTGCACTTCCGCCAGTTTGGGTGTCATTACCTCTGCTGGGGCACACAACCGCCACTGCTCTCTTTGTCGGAGCCGTCTCTATGACTATAGGTGGCGGTGGCATGTGGCCGTTGAAGTGCAACTGTCAAGTGTCAGATCCTAAGTCAGTCAGGTGCGCCGCCTCAGGATACGGACTCCTTTGGTGTCAGGTCAGGTACGGTCGTTTAGTTCGGCGTCCTGGAGATGAAGTGCTGGAGTGGTGTGCGAGGTGAAGTCTTGAGTTCGGATAGAGGTGTGGCCCGAACTGCCCTGGGGAGGGCCAGTTCGGGTTGCTGCCCTTTGCGCTCCTCGTAAGGCTCAGGGTCAAAGGGAGAGTTCGGGCTCCTTTTGGGGAGCTTGGACCGTTGGTTCCTCCTCTCGGAGCTCGCGCCTTGAGCGTACTGCCATGCCGAGTTGTTGCCTCTGCCACGTGTTGAGTGGTCAAGAGGTCGAGCCAAATCTTCCTTCATCAATTGCCCCCCACAACTCGCGCTAAGGGGCTTGCTCTGGCGCGGGGAGTTTGCAAGGTGGCGGGTGGATTTGACTCGTACTTTGAACTGGTTTGACTGATAGCGCGAAGTGCATGTTCGTCAGGAGATTTTCGGGTTTCTCGAGTGCCAAAAAGCTAGGAAACGCGCCAATCTGTCTTTAAATGCTGGGAGACGTGACAACGTGCGTTTATTTCAAAATTAAAAAAAAAATGCGTCGTTGGGAGACGTGACAGCGGCGTTATTTCAAATTTGAAAAATGCGTCGCTGTCGCCTTTAATGCGGGGAGATGTGCGCCGTCGCTGCTTCAGTTTCAAAAGACATGCGGCTAGTCACGTCTCGATCTTAGGAGGCGTGCGGTCAGCTTGATCATGGGCCGTTGGATTTTCCTCGATCAGAACCGTCGGTTTTCGGTCACTGTGGGTATAAATAGTGGGGGACCCCAGTCGCTTTTCATTGCCATTCCCCTGCGTTTGCTTCTTGAGCTCGCGTCCAAGTTTTAGCTCGCGTCCAAATTTTTAGCTCGCGTCAACCTTCCGTAGTCCGTTTGCTTTTTCCGGGTGAGTCAGTACTTTCTTCCTGGTATTCTTTTCCTCCCGATGTCTAGCTCGGACAGTTTAGACAGTTCTTCGAGGGGGTCAGATGCAGGTTCTACAAACCGAGCTGCATCCCCCGACAGCCTTAGTGAACCCGAGGTAGAGCTCGAGGAGGAGCTCGAGGAAGAGTTCGAACCCGCAGGCCGAGTTGCCTCGGGTAGTTTGGCGTCCTCCACCCGTCGAGATCGGACATTAGACAAGTTTGGGCCCTCAACCATGACGCCTGAGGGGCTTTACTCCCTTATCACCCAGTTCAACCTGCCTAGGGAGTACACTTGCTTTATACCCTCGGGCGACTTCCCTTGGGAACACGGTCCCGATGAGATCGTGATATTCCGAGAGTAGCTCATCGTTGGGTTGCGCTTACCTTTTCACCCCCTCATCGTCGAGGTTATGAGCCACTACGGCGTTACCGTCGGCAAGATCCACCCGAATTCTATCCGTAATTTGGTAGGAACTATCTCCCTCTTTTGCGAACAGATTTTGCCTTTAGACCTGGAGATCTTTTCTTCCATTCTAATGCTTAAGAAGCAAGCGGGTCCCCTTCCCGGGCGTAGGCGGGCGTACTACCTATCTCCTCGCTCGGGTTTCAAGCTTTTACACAATCTTCCCAACAAGGTCCTGGTGTGGAAACGAGACTACTTTGGGGTGCGAAGTGCAATGGGGTGGCCATTCCAAACCAGGTGGGGGATGGCTGCCCCCGATGCCGGTGTTACACTTGATAGGGAGACGATGAAGGGCCTTTGGGAATGGGCACGGCTTGGGCTAAAATGCCACCATTATCTGACGGAGGCCAAGCTCATCTAGGCCGGCCTGAGTTCGGGTAGGTTCCTTGCTCAGAGGCTTGCCTTTTGTTTTGCTTTCCGTTCTTT